GAGGTTCTGCCTTGGTGTCTGAAAGTTGTGGGGGTCTGGATGGAGAAGAACAGCCTTTAGCTCAACTGTGGCAAGTCAGAGTGGCTATGTGTTTTAGATCTCCCTAGGTCGGTGTTTTTTCATCATTGGTTCTTGTACTATCCCAAACAAAAGAATTGCACTACTTAGGGGTTCTCCTGAACTCATGGCTCCTGTTCAAAGAGCAGGTAGCACCTGTTGCCAGAAGGCCTTTTGCGCGACTCCATTTTGTGCACCAATTGTGCCCCTTTCTGGACCAGGAGTTATGGTCACTCATGCCATAGTCACCTCCTGAGTGGATTACTGCAATGCACTCTACACAAGGCTGCCCTTGAAGCCCATCTGGCAGCTGAAGCTGGTCTAGAATGCAGCAGCACAGGCAGTTATGGGCACACCTCAGTACACCCATGTTACATCCCTGCTCTGTGAGCGACACCATGTGCTTATGGGTTGAATTCAAGGTGGTGGTGTCAAGCCCTTCATGGCACGGGGCTGGGTTATTTGTGGGACTGCCTCTCTCTGAATATTTCTATCCTTCCTACTAGAACGGGCATTAAAGAATGCCATCTTATGGGAACCTAAAAGCATGCCTTTTTTGTCACAGTGCCTGCCCCCTGGAACACCATACAACACCGCCTCCCCCCAAGATTAGATTGGCCCCAATCCTGCCAGCTCTTTGTAAAGCATTGAAGACCTGGATGTGCTCCAGAGGCTGGGGGTTTAGATGGACCTTGGGGAGTTTTTTGTTGATTGTTTTGTCTGGGTTTACCCTCCCACCACGCCACAAGCATTGTAGGTTTCTACCCTTCATTTATATTGCTTTTTGTTGTTTTAATATGTTGTTAGTTGCCCAGAATCACATTTGCAAGATGGGTGGCAATATAAATCAATCAATCAATCAATCAAATCAATCAGTATTATTTATTTATAGAAATTGAGTACATGGGGAGCAGAAATGTATAAGCAAGTATACGTATACATACACTCTTGGTTCCAAAATACTATTATCATTTTAGATGCTGCTTCTAACAGCAAGAAATTACTGTATCTGGAAGCGTTTTTTCCTCCTCTGTTCTCCCCCCTTTCACAATATAAACAGTAGATGCAACAAAGATGCTTATGGCATCTTAAAGATTAATAGATTTATTATCAAATAAGCTTTCATGGATCCATGGAAGTTTATTGGATGAAAATAAAATGTTAATTTTAACAGCTAAAGGACCCTGTTGTATTTGTTACCCCTGGAAAATGCAAAAAGATCTTGCCCTGAAGGGGGATATCAAAGGGAATTAGGCAGGATCGTATTGTCTGTACAGTGCTAACCTATGTGAAAAGCTAGAGATATGGGGCTATCTTACAAAAGCAACTCATATCAAAAGAAATTATCATTCTCCATGATTGGCTAAAAGCTTCAGAGTGTACACGTTGTATACAAAAAGCTCAGTGGATAACTTTCAACACACACTGTAAATGTCCAGCATTAGAGTAGTTGGCAAGACAACCTAGGGGTCATCTGCGATGTCACCTTTTGTTGTTGTTCTACATCTTCTCCTCTCCAGGGTCTATTTAGACACGTCTCTCCTTATTTTATCTATGTGTGCACAGAAAAAATCAAGTATTTTATATCTGGGATGGAACAAACTGTATCAGCAAAAAGCTCTTATTGTTTTAGCAGAACCTCTTGATATACAGACCGTCCATTTCTGGCAATGTTTGTGTTTCCTTCTGAAATGTTTGAACTTGGGTGAAATGTGAAAGACATCTTCAAAAGGACTGAAATGTTATTTATCTTTGGTTTCTGCTTTTTTGGTAGGCTGATGTCATTTTTTTTACTAGTGCTTTAGGAAACTAACAACCAAAAAGGCACCTTCTCAAGCTTTGCAGCAGCAACAGTTTCTCTCTTTTTCTAACTTAATATGTCAAATTCATGAGAGAAAGTGTGGGTCCTGAATTCTAAGCATCAGAGGAGTCCTCTTCAACTGTTCTAATAAATATATGAACGCTAACTTGGTCATGTGCCCTGTGTCTTTACAACCCAGTCTTTCTTTTCCGTGCCCTCTTTGGATTCAGCATGATGATCTGAAAAGGAACTGCATGCATTTTTGTTCACATGGGAGTACAACACCTTGTATGTTCATGGGTCCTGATAAAGCAGGGTCTACAGTCCCATGGAGTGATGTATTGTCTGAAGCAATAAATATTCTACTGAGCAAACACTGACTCTTGATACTTTTTCACTAGAGATAGGGAAATCAAGGGGAGGAAGATGTGGGATAGGAAGGTAGAAGAGGTGGGGCAGGGATCATACGATGCATCCTAGGGCTGGAGTGTCAGTGCAGTCTACATATATTTATGGTGTGTGTGTATGTGTGTGTGTGTGTGTATGATGAGCAGAGGGCATTTACTTGTGACAACTAGAACAATATTATTGACATTTTTTCTATATCTGAGGCAGAATTAGGCACCTCCGTATCACTGCTGCCTCTATCTCATAAACTTTTCCCTAAACCTTAGAGCTGCTCATAATTATCTCAACCATTGCAGGAACAGCCACACCTGCATTCCCTCCAGCTGACAAGTAAAAGTGCAGAAATCTGCCTCCATCCAATGCCCTGCCCACTTCTATTCCCACCTCATTAGGCCAGGTTAGCCATGGTGAACATTGAGAGATCTCAGGATTGGTAAGACAAAAATACAGCATGCCATGTTTTTCTTGTAAACTATGATTTATTGTTTTTTATCTCTCAACAAGAGTAGAAACTAAGCAAGGAGAATACAGCTAATGCATGCAAACCAACCATTTTCCCCAACCTGTGATGTCTGTCTTCAAAGAAGGTTGCAGGAAATTACTTTATGGTTGACTTGCTTTACCAGTCAGACATTAACTGCCTCTCTGCTGACAATCCTACTAATTCTGCCAATGTGGCTATCCTAAAATATAGTGGCAACTACTGAGTTAATCAAGGGCTTCAGTTAAACTTAGCAGGCAATCTCTCAGGGTTAGCAAAATTGGGTCTTCTTTCTGATGTCTTTGTTTCCTCTTCTCCCTCTGGGCAACTGTGCTGTATTGTCCTCCTTGCATGGCAACCCCCATGCTGATTGATCTTAGGTGGTCCTGAGTCATCCTGGAACTTGCATCTCTTCAGCAGCCCAGAACTGCTTAATTCCATCTTTGCTTTCTAGCTATTTTTCTTCTTCCCCTCTCCCTTCCTCCAGCTTCCACACCTTCCTGCTAGCTTCTCAGCCCATTTCCTCCTCCCCCTTCCATGAGAGGCTCTCTGTAGGTGAAACCTCTTCTTCTCTCAGCTATTTCCCAGAAGCAGGTTATGGACCATCAGTAGAGTTTGCATGTCTGGATGCTATGCAACAGGATGGCGGGGCGTGTTTGTTTATTTTTCAAATTTAGATACCACCCATCTCCTCTCCATTCTGCCACAGCGAGAGAATGGGAAAGATAGCAGCCTGGCTGCCCAAAGGCCTGGAGCCTACTACAAAGGCACAATGGTATTAAGAAGGATTGCAGCCAAGGGGAGTTGGAAGAGCCATGGAGCCAGGAGGAAATCAGGGAGAGGGAAATCTAATGGGAAAGCTGTCTGCTCAAAAGCTCAAGCATCTCAAATGACACATCAGCTGAGCTAGAAGAGAAATTCCTGAGCACACAAAGACAATGCCAGTGTGAAAGCCAATGAATATATCACAAAGCCCTATTTCAGTGTTTCTCAACCTTGGCGACTTTAAGATGTGTGGACTTCATGCTGGCTGGGGAATTCTGGGAGTTGAAGTCCACACATCTTAAAGTTGCCAAGGTTGAGAAACACTGCCCTATGTGAATGAAATGCTTATCTAGAGCATTTTAAAATTGTCTCATCAAGTGATATACGCCTGTCAGTACCCTTATTTTCAGACTAACAAAAATGGTAAATGTTACCACCTGCTCTGGATTATAGAAAATTGCTAAGATTTAATTAATTGCAGTTTTGCTTGCTATGAGCAGAGAAGGGTATTATCAATGCATGTATTTCCTCATGTAACTTTGTGATAAAAAAGTAACAGAACTGAGCAATCGAAATCTGAATTGATCTACAATTGCATTATAGACCATACTCTAATGCAATTGTAGGTCAATTCAGATTTCGATTTGCTACAGAGGTGATGCTAAAACTGGCATTTCCTTATATGTTTCCATGGTTTTCTCTGATTAAAATAGTTTGGACACAGAAATTCTCCTGAGAGTTTTTTTTTCTTCCAATTTTTACTCAAGTTGATGTAAGAAAGCTTGCTTTAGAAATTCTCTTTCCTCTAGATATTTTTTCTTTTTAAATCATCCATCCAACTTTGGCAGAGAATTTGTGGTCAGCTGTGCTTTAAAACAACTCCATGTTGAAATGTCTACTCTCCATTTATTTATTTATTGTAATGGCTGTCTTTATTTTTTTCTTCCCACTAAGAATGCTTTAAAACAGTATCTATTTTTAAAATTATTCAAAAATGAAATATGCTTCTATCTTTTTAAAAAAATTAAAAAGACTGAAATCTTACAATGTGAACTTATAAATATATGCCAGACTTGCAGATCTGAAAATTGCCCTAGCTTTTGAGACTTTCTATGTGCCAACTTCAACCCTGGGCTTTTCAAACACTCAGCAGGGAAAATTAGATTCAGTCTGGCAGTGTGTAATCAGTGAGTCTGTATAGCCTATGAAAAGGGCATATGGACTTAAATATCTAGATCAAATAAAGAAAAGACATGTAGCCATCTATGCTGCAAATTCCAATAAATAGTGGCAATAGACACTGTGGGGCTACTGTATATGTTAGCTGGAAATGGAGACAGCTGTGAAAAATAAACACTGCTTCACATTGGTTTAAGAGTAAAGTACCTCTCCATTCATCAGACTCTATAATGAAAGACTATTATTTTTCATAAATGAAAATGGCAAAAAAAAAAAAGTCTGATATCTAGGTACACCAGTTTAATTGCACTTGTCTTGCTTGTAAAAAGAATTTGGTTGATATTCTTGTCACAATGGCTTAGAAGCTTATTCCGGAGTTCATTCAGAAGAGGTAATGACTGGGAAAATGACAAAGAAAACTGTTACTGACCATTAGTGAGCAATCACTCTGTCATATTGCCAAGATAATTTAGACAAATGGGGGATGGAGGTAGCTGTCTCTCTGGGAAACAAGATGCTGATATTTCAGACACTAGCAGCTTTTTAAAAATGTTGACTGTATTTGTATCTATCTTGACTTGATCTAGATCCACAAACAGACATACACTCACACACCCACCAGAAATTCTAATAATGCATCGTAACTCTGATTCACATAGCAGAGTTACAGACTTGCTTCTGGAAAAGCACACACATGTGGAATGGTTCCAATCTACCAGCAATTTCTACCCATCCCGTCACACCACACTTTCCCTAGGGAGTTAAGATGCACAAGTGGGATTATATCAAGTATCTTGATAATACACAGACATCTATTAATCCCTTCCTTAAGCATTCACATACAAGGACAATTCTAACTTGGATGTGAGAGTCATTGGCTGTATCATTTATCACATCATTGATCACCAGGAGTGACTCAGCTGATCCAGCTGGCTAGGTAGATGTCATATTCCTCTCTATGACTCCACAGACATCCCTCCTGAATCTGTGTGCTCATAGGAGGAGAACAATAATCCTAGACAGAAAGGGTGTACTGTTCTTTGGTCAAGGGTGCAATCTTTCTACCACCTTCCAGTAGAAATTTCTGGTCCTCATAACAACTTCTGTGTTATAAGGAATTACCCAGCCTTATTTATAGTGATTTAATTAAGGTGGAGTCTTTGGGGGTAATTTGAAACACTTCTGCCCAAATTTCTTTCCAGCTGAACTATGCTGTCATTTATGAGATAAGCTGTCAACTGGTTCACCCAATGCTATCTCTTATTGTTTATGTCCACATTCTCATCCCTCTTTCCACACAACCTCTCACACTAATTGTGTGGAAGGACTTTTACATCCTGCTGCATGTGCAAATGCGCCTTCCCTGCAGATGTCCACACCATACATGCAGGGCTATTGTAGGGCTGGGGGCCATTCCAGCCTATTTGTTTAGTTTTAGGAGGCTGCCCAACTTTGAAAGGGGGCACAGTGCAGAAGGGAGAATGAAGATTAAATTAAAATTACTATTACTTTTGAATAGTTTATAATTAGCTGAAACACACAAAAATAGTTATACTGATGCCCATTAATTCCCAGGTTTAAAATGAAATAACACTGAACAAGAAAGCAACAAAAAAGACCCCATCCTTTCATATCCACCCTATTACCTACTTTCAATAAGAAGTTAAATGTCCTTTGACCTGAACTTCACTCCTGGTGACTTTATGGATTCATCTATGTCATTTTCTTGGAAACAGTATGCATACCTGGAGATATGAGTTTCATATTCTAAAACAGAAGCAGGACAAAGTAGAGAGAAACAGCAAGTGTACAGTGTAGGGACTGCCTCTGAACCTCTGACAAGCTACATTCAACCTATGGGCTACAGAAGATGCAAGCATGCCCTCTTGAATGTACTATATATTGGAGCAACTCAACACAGCTCTACTTGCTAATTCAGTTTGCTAGTAAATACAGTGCAAATGCTCTAATTCAAGAGAAAGAGAGAGAGAGCCCTCTACAAACAACCCCCTGCTCATGCATAGGACTAAAGGGGGGGGGGGGTAGGACATGGCTGCAGATGGCTATCCTCATAAAGAATTGCTGACAGTCCATAAGCATCGTTGGCTGGATTCATGCACACAGGATCTGTAACTGGGGGTTCATCTGATCCCATGCAAGTCAGATTCCTAAGTTCTCGAGGAATTTGTTTTTGAGTTGTAAGCACAATGGTGATACTGCCAGAAATGGATCCTTCACCAACATGCCACCCAAACAATATTAAAAACAAACTGAGGAATTTCTCAAGTGAGATATATAATAATATAGGAATGCACAAAAGCCAACTAGCTTTTTTCCCCCTTAGACTATTTTGCACATTCTAAGTTATATTTACAGCCAGTTTGGTGTAGTGGTAAAGGCCCCAGGCTAGAAACCAGGAGACTGTGAGTTCTAGTCCCATCTTGGGCACAAAGCCAGCTGGATGATCTTGGGCCAGTCACTCTCTCTCAGCCATAGGAAGCAGGCAATGGCAAAGCACTTCTGAAATCTTGCCAAGAAAACTGCAGGGACTAGTCCAGGCAGTCACCAGGAGTCAACACTGACTCGAAGGCTCACATACAAGTTGCATTTAGAATTCTCACCTTCCTGAATCATTGTAGCTGTATCCTGAGATTTTAAGTAGTGTTCCTGCTGGTCTCAGCTGTATTTTTCCAAAAGGGATTTTTCCCTGTGTGTCTGCCCCTCCATCTCCTAAAATTTCGCAGAAAAAGAACAGCTCTGAGCATCGATAATAACAATATGAACTATCCTTTCTAACCATATAGTTCTAAGAGGTGTTTTTCCAGCCCATTTTCCTCATTATTATGATCTGCAAAGAGATAAAATGATTGCCATAGAAACAGATGAATATTGTCAATCACATCTGTAATTCTGTGGCCCCCCAAAAATCTTGCTTTCATAGGAAAAGTTTGCAATCACATTGATAAATTATCTAAAAGTTGAAGACCCATTATAGTAAAGGTCAACTTCTAACATCAGTATGGACATGGGCATGTTGCTTTTTGGCAATAATATCAAAGTGGGTTGTCATTTCCTTTTTCCAGGATCTTTTATTAACTTCCTAATCCACTCCACAGCCCTGGGATGTCCTAGTGGTCTCCCAGGTCTAAACCTCCTTAGTTTTGGGGAAAATCAGCTAAAGTCTGCTAGGTGCTGTCTCCTGTTGTAGAATCAGCTACTGTGTTTTAAAAATTAAAAGTTGTGCTTACTTTATGGTAGGATGGACAATTTTTGGGTAGCTGGAGGCCATGTGTAATGTTTTGGGGAGAATGAGAGCCACGGTAGACAGGAGTATAATGCAAACTGAATGGACAGGATTTTCTGGATTATCTTTGGAGGGAGCTGGAGTTTTTCCTGTTGATTTTTAAAGTATGATAAGCTAAGGCTATTTCAGTGCTTACACTGTTTTTAATGTGTTTACTACTTTTGAAAATCATAGAAAACGATGCTGCTGATTTGGAGCAATTATAGTGGGGCTGCAGAAAAGGAATGTTAAGTGGTCTTGTCCATCTGGTAATAGTCTTTAAAAATGATGGTTCTTATAACCTCAGAAAGTAATTATGTACAGGAGTCACAGCATGTTTATTAGTGGGTTAGATTCAACTGGAAAAACCTCAAGGCTTGGTAAAATCAACAAACATGAATCACCAAAACCTGCTTAAAGGGCATGGAATATTTGCTGCTTAAAATCTCAGCTGAGACTTTAAGGATCAGGAATAACAACTGGCCAACTTCATTAATTTTGAAGAGGAATTCTAACCTTTGCTCCTTTTCTCCCAATATAGCATACGGGGGTTATTTTTTAGTGCTTGGGTTTCTGTGTAAAATGCTAGAGGCTAGTTATGACTCTGCATTTGCCCACATCTTGCCAAGGTTGAGAAACACTGGGCTAGAGGACATTAATTAATTAAATCAATTTATATAGCTTTCTATATAGCATTACTGGAAAGTTGAAAGAAAGTTAGTTGTAAAAAAATGCAAAAAAAAAAAAAGTTAGTGGAGGGTAACACAAAAATTATTTAGCTGTCACCGCTTTCTGATTGTGCCTGATGCGTTGAGTTTATAGTAAGTGCTTTTTGCAAAATAATGAAAAAATGATTTGAAGATCAATTATTTTTATCAGAACAGCATGCAGAGGTTCTCATTGTTTGACAGTGTAGACTGGCAGACTTATCTTTATCCAATGCACTTCAGCAATGGGCAACCCTGCCTAGTGTTTTAATGTTCTCGTATGCCAGGAAGCAACATTTTCAGAAGACTCACAACACCCAAATGGCAGATCCCAGACCTCCCACGGGAAAGGAAGCTCCCACTTTATTTCCTTACCATGAGCAGGAGTGAAACAATATAAAGATATTGTGGGAAATCAACATGGTGGCATGGTGTTGGTCTAGGGCAGATATCAACAAAGGAAATTGGTTAGCACCTAAGGATATCACTGCCTGTCACCAGCTCATTTGTAGTATGGATTACAATGCATGTTGCATCTGCACCTGTGAACCTGACAAGCACTTGAGTGGGAATGAGCTCAATTTTCTGACAAGCCTCTCCTATTCTAGGCAGCTGTTTTCCTTGACCTGGGGTGCTCCATGGGAAGCATCAGACATTGCCACCATAGATACATCTTCCACCTGTCATGGACAGCATCTGTCAGGATGCTCCACTAGAAAAAACTAAACATATTTATAGGTTGTAATGTAAGCAGCCTCATTACAACCCACCACATTATAATGTGTTACCATCATTTGCATTGTGTTTGTGTGGAGAGGAGAACAAAGAGAGGATTAGTCACTGAAATGGTACACTTTCACTGAAAATACCTGTAATTAGCAGCCAGCTATTTAATGATTTCCAGCTAACAATTCCAATTCCAAAGGCTCCTCAGTGAAGAAGTATTTTGTTCTGCTCCAACCTTCTTGCACATTTTTTAATACTTAACTGTAGCACTGTCCTAAAATAAAGAATGCAAACTTGCTGCTTTACTCTCTTTGTATAATTTATAGTTCTCCCCTTAGGAAAGGAGCAGGAGGTTGTGACAGATCGGAGTGTTGCTTGTTAATTCTCCAAAGATTCATCAGTGAGAGAGAAACAGCCCAATTGCATAGTTTGGTTCTTGTTCTTTTTTTGCTTGCCATTAGTGTTAAAATCTTATGCCCAAAAAGGTTTTGCCCACTCAACGTTTTGCCTGTAATCGATTGGTACAATATCCTTGTTGTAATTATGATGTGGGTATATACATTTGCAGTGGCAACTGTCAACCATTCATCAGTAACCCTAACCCTAATCCATTTGGCAGGGGAAAATGTGGATGTGATCACTGGTGGGCAAAAACATTTTGCAAATAAAAAAGGAACAAGAGCCCATATCGCAAAAGCAGATTCAACCTTATTCCTGATGTAAAGCTTTTTTTAAAATTTATGGAAGTATTTTTTTAAAAAAACCTCCAGTTAAGCCTATTACTGTGCTTATATTACAGCAGGGTTTCTCAACCTTGGGAACTGTAAGGTGTGGACTTTAACTCCCAGAATTCCCCAGCCAGCCTGGCTGCATTTCCTGCCTCAAAATAATAGGACAATGTGCTGCCAGCATTTGGCAGAAGGTTGCAGGAGGCACTAATACACCATTGAAAGATAATGTGGGACTAGATGAGACTTTGGAGGGTAATGTGGGCCTTTAAGATGTGTGGACTTCAACTCCAGAATTCCCCAGCGAACAGAGTGAAGTCCATACATCTTAAAGTTGCCAAGTTTGAAAAACACTAGAGTCTCAGGCTGCATCTCCTGCATGAAGGTGTCCAACTGTCTTGTCTCAGATAAAAGTTTCTGATATACAGTTAATGCTACAAAGGATAGCATGGGCTTCCTGTGTGAACTTCATTTAATGGCATGAACTTCATTGATGCTTGGAAGAAAATCATTTTTAAGGAATGACTACCTGTCCTTTAATAGTCCTAGCTACTAGAGAGAAAGCAAGATGCCTCCACGGCCTCAATAGTGCTTGCCTCATTTTACTTAATGGTAGGAGTGGGGTAATTTGTCTTTCCTTCACCAGCTTACTGCTTTTCCTATTTGTTGTACAGCAAGGGAACTCCCTTCCATTAGGGCTGCCACAGAAATACAATTGCATGGAATTCCTCATTCCCTATGGCTCCTGTACGAAGTATTAAATGCAATTTAATGTTGATTAAATAAGTTCTATTTTTTAAAAAGTAATACTTATTCTCCCCAGTCCCATAGCACACAACCTCTATATTGTCATTGTGACATTTCTTTTAAATAGATATATTTAATAGCATGACTCAATTCCATCAATAAAGAAAGAGCAAATAATTCTTGTGGGCCTTTCATACTTCTCTTGAGCTTTTCTGTCCATTATCTTTGATAAATGATGGCCAGAGACTTATTTGATTAATTTATTTTCCCATTTTTCATACTGTGGTAAAGTTCATCAAGGTCAAACATTTTCCTTATCTGTTTCACTAGCATCTATATATTTTCTGTAAATCTTTCTCATTTGATCTCTCTTTGTGGTTTCAACCTGTTGCTATATTCTCATATGCAAGGTGAATCTTTTGGTTATAATTATCTAAGCCAGAATGGGGAAAGAAATCACTGTATGGAAATAACATTATCAATCAGCCTAGCCTTCCCCAATCTGGCACCTACTAGATGTGTTGTGACTGTAACCTGTAAATTTTAGGCCAGTGTGCACTGTCAACATTTTTGAAAGGTACCAGCTTGAGGAGCTTTAATCAAATGGTTGACAATTATGGTTGGGTTGGGTTAGCACAATACACTAGACTAAAATATGGCTGACTAGTTTGGTTTCAATATGGCATATAAATACAGCTCCAAATTATAAGACCAAAGCAGGCTTAACATGGGTAAGAGGCAACCCCTTCTCCTCCCAAAGAGGATCCCTCCTCAAATCCATGATACAGACCCACCAACTTTGTATCAACTTTTCCTACCCCTCCAAAAAACATCAAGTAGCTACCAAAAGGTTGCCTATTCCTGGGCTACATCAAAATATTCTTGCTGTGATACCTGGGAAGAATTTGAGTTTTGTCCGAAAGGTTGTAGTTTTAAAGTGACCTAGCACAAGAAAGCTGATCTGTATCACTGCCGCTAAAAACACTATTCTAAACAGCTGAATACATGGGCCAAAAAATAAAATGGTTTATTTTTTCTCCCATTTGGTGAGATCATTTTGATCAAGAAACAGATTTCTCCTGTGATGATTTTTCCATCTGCCTATGACCGAAGCTAGTGTTCACTCTTCCAAAAACGATGCAAACATTTAACACCAATAACATGTTGCTTTTCTCTAGCTTTCCAGCTTTCCCATTATCACCCATCATCTGTGTTTTCAACTGTCACTCTGCAGTTTCTGATAACAGTGCTCTTTAGCCCTTTGCCTGCTAGCTGTGAAGAGATTAGGGTCCTTCTCTCCATCTAACACTGCTACCTCTACCATTTGTAAATCAGTGAAGCAAGAAATTAACAGACATACCAGAAATACTAGTCCAGGAATACCAATGAGGATAGCCCTGGTCTTTGTGATTTCTCATTTTAAGAGCCAACAGAGCTGTGTATTTCAAGCAGCAAATTTCCGCTTGTTATAATTCTAATTAGCCACATGTGCTTGAAACTTAAGACTCTATTTACCTATTTCAGTG